TAGCTTGAGGACATTAGAGGTCTAGTTCTCCCAGTCCATAGTGCCTGCCACAGTGCCCAGTGTACCTAAACCAAAAAAAAAAAAACAAACAAACAAACCCAAACCCAAACCCATTGCCATTGAGTCAGTTCCGACTCATAGCGACCCTATGTGTTACAGAGCAGAACTGCTCCATAGTTTTTTTTTGGTTGTAATCTTTACAGAAGCAGATCACCAGGCCTTTCTTCATCAGTGCTTCTGGATGAGTTCAAACCGCTAACCTTTCGGTTAGTTGCTGAGCACAAACCATTTTGCCACCTAGTTACTTGTCCCAGTGTGCCTAGTAGGTATTTAATTGGTACTTACAGATTGAACTCCAAAGGCATACCAGGTGGCGGTTCGCTGGGTGGGCTTGTAGTCTGCGGCTGTGTGACACTTGAAGAAAAAAGCAATTATGGTTATCAGTGTGTAGTATGATAGGTTTGGGCTGTGCTGAACCACAAATACAACTTTTTAAAGAGTAGATTAGTAAGCAAAGGAAGGGTAGAGACGGTCTTACAATTAAGTATTCATTAACTTCATTAACTAAGGCAAAGGAGGGTGTATATGTTAAGTTCTGAAAGTAAATAATAATTGCATTTATAGTCAAGTGGCCTGGCATGAAGTATCTGTGGCACTCAAGTCATGCATGAAAAGAAAATGGACAGAGATTTTCTTAAATTTAGGAAGTTTTACCAGCCAGTCGTTAGTTTCCCTTTAAAAAAAACAAGTTCATCCCTGTTCTTGCTTTTAGATATTTGTCACTTTAAAAACGCAGACCGGGAGCACATGCTGGATGATATTCAAGTAAGAGATCAGAAACTTATATCTCTCCTATTGAAATTGAAACACAACTTACCTACTAAGCTAGGCCGCTGTCTGGAGTAAGAAAAAGGAAAGGTTTTTCTGCTAAGTATGGTCAGTATGAAAAATATACTCATTAGAGCTTCATTTTTCTTGAGGGGCTCAGGCATCTGCAGTACCAGGTTTTCGTGATTTTTGTTCTAAAATTCAGACATAGTATATGGTGGTAGAAGTGACTATTTAATCTGTAGAGTGCACCATAACCCCCGTATCTAAACTTTTTTAAAAAATTCCGTTATAAATAGTAGGGTATGATTACACCTGGTTCTTTGAAGGTTTCGATGTTTTAGAACTCTTAACATTGCATTGTATCTTAGCTTCAAATGGAGTAACGTGTAAAGGGGAGACATGAATTATTAAATTATCTACACCATCAACCACATGGTTCTTTGTGTGTGTGTTTGTATATGGTGGGGGGGGGGCGGATACCTGACTAAAATTAAATTTTAACCACTGCCCCAAACAAAACAATGTTAAAAAGGTTTTTAATATTTTGGCAAGCCTGAGATTAACTGCCTGTTTTTGCATAGATTTAAAATGATGAAGCACATGCAATAGACACACACCTATACCACAGATAACTGTGTTGCCATTGATTAAAAATACGTGATCTGGGGGGATTCGCCAAGATAATAAGAATATCAAACTGCGTGCTCCCTTCTCCAGCCTTTGAACATGGTTTGCGTTTGTATGGTGGTATGTTTAAGCCCGTGGACCTCCAGTTTTTGTGGGACCATCCACATGAATACCAGAACCATACAGTCCCACTTTATTTCCATGGTGCCATTACAGATACAAGCCCCTGCTGGCATCCAAGTACATTGAGTTCACTAAAAACAATTGCTTTCCGTGGAAACCTAACACAAAGGTGCTAAGAAGGAGAGTTGGGATTTAGATGTGCCTACTTAATTGCTAAAGCCTGGTTTCTTTTAAGCCCCTATGGAAAGTAATCTTAGTAGTCTTTCTAAACATGGAACTATTTAGCATGCCATAGATTGAGGCAGTGCATGCCATGGCCCTTCATCCGGGGTGGACCTCCTTTTCCCCCAGGAAGCATTGGGAAATGTGTAGGGGTACGTTTTGATGTCACAATGACTGGGGACACCAGCATGTAGTAGGTGGGCTCGGGGATGTTGAACATTCTGCAGTGCTTGGGATCGTCCTGCAGAGTGAATACTTGTGCTGCCCAGAATGGCAGTAGCGCCCCGTGAGAAACACTAGTAGGGTGATGATTGCTAAGATAACCC